TAGTCCAGTTATAAAAACATAACCCTTAATACCTCAGTCCCTCTCATGAGAACAATTGAAACTGTTCATTATGGGAAAGAGTATAGGGAAGCTAAGACAGGGATAGTTCCCAGGTACAAAGTTCTGAACAGATTGAAATTTTCCCAAACCTAGGTACATTTTGATCTATTGTGTACATTATGGGCCATCTCTACTCCTGAGTGAAACGGGTGATGTTCTGTTACAGCAATGAACTAGCCTGACTATCCAGCCCCTACAAAATGTTGCATACCAGAGGGGTAAGGAGCTCTTTGACACATACACAGATGTATTTCTCCTGTCATTTGCTCTGTCAGTGTGCTTTAGACAAAGCAGGAAGACATCAGAGGGAGAGGAGCAATCCTGTGAAGTGCAGTAAGTCAGACTCAGTGGCGGATTAGCCACTGGGCCAATGGGGCCTGTGCCCAGGGGCCCTGGAAAAATGGGTGCCCCATGCCCTGACCCCGCTCCCCTCACCAGCCCAGCGCTCCTGCTGTGGAGCGGGGTCAGGACTGGGAGCTTGTCCTGCAGTCCCTCCCCTGTGTCGGTGCATGGGGGTTTGCACCACTCCACACACCCGTCTCCCCTCCTGCGCCAGACGGAATGGGGTCAGGGTATGGGGGCTTGACCCACTCCACAGGAGCACCGGGGGTGGGGACTGCAGGCGGAAGGGGTGGGGAGGGGGCCAAAACCCTAATCTGCCCTGATCCGACTAGATGATCATGATGGTCCCTTCTGGCCTTAAAGTTTGAGTCTGAGCCTTCTGTATCACAATTAACAGTTTTCTGCGTTTTCCATGAATGTAATAAGATTAACAGAATGCCACTTGGTAGAACATTTAGGGTATGTCTACACCGCACTTGGGAGATGTAACTCCCAGGGCTGGTAGACATACACCTGCCAACTCCTCTTGAGCTCGTGCCTAAAATAGCAGTGTGGAGGTGGCTGCACAGGTTAGCCACCTGCGTACATGCCTTGAGCAGGATTGTACCAAGGTGGCTAGCCTAAGTCTCTGCCCATGCTGCCATGGCCACGCAGCTATTTTTAGCACATGTGTATATCTACCCACGCTGGGAATCGCACCTGCCAGCAGCTGTGTAGACATCCTTAGTCTGCTCTGTTTGTACTGTGAGTTTAATAAAAGTTCATATCCTTCCCTGCTTCAACACTAAAAACTAAACAAGGCATCTGTCGCCAAAAATTCTCACTTGACTGCAATTTTGATATATTTTTTTTTAAAACTTTGGGCAATCTGAAGTGTACTCACAAATAGCATCTTCTTTACAACCTGTTTACATTAACTGTATACACTGATAGCCCAGAATTTTCTCTAGTGGTTTTCTGTAACAAAAATGTATACCATGCTTACCTAGAATCCTGAAATGGGAAATCTGTACAGTCCAGAAGGGGACAGACACCCATAGTGGGCAGAGCTAGCCCAGCATGAGGAGGGCACACTGTGTATTTTCATAGTGGGATAACTGCTGCTCTAGCAACCACTCCCTTCAAGACCCAAGAGGAATTTTGGCTGATTCAGGCAGAATACCTCCTGGGACTCCCAGCATGGCCCCTCAAAGCTTCCACAATCCTAGTTTTGGTAGTGAACCAAAATCTAGCCTTATATATGCTCCATAAGACACAGGGACGAAGCCTCTCCTCGCAAACACACTCATAAAACTTTAACATATTTTCATTGCAATTTTTTTCTCTACTCTACCCAGTGAGGCTGAATGGGTGTAAATGAAGGTAAATGATTTACAATATTTATGTAATTTGTCCTTGATCTTTGATAAATCCCTCATATTAAATGGGGGTGCACACACTCTGACGTTATTGACATAATCTGTAACTGTATAGATCACTGTTGCGACTACTGATATATATTTGCAGCAAATATTGAATAAAGGTTGTCGTGTAAGGGATGTATGGAGAGATTATGGTTTGTTGGTTATGATTATGCTGTCTATATGTATGTATCATTTTTGTAGTTGAAGTTATGAATATTGGCTCTACACTGTCTGTATTTCATACTTATGCTATGCTTCTGGGTGCCACGCCAGAAAAGTTGGTGTCAGCTCTGCCTAGCCTGCTTGATGGCCCATTAAGGATCATCAACTATACAACTGACCCATTGAGAGAAGGCATATATGCCTTGTGATTTAGCAAAGTAAGGGACTTGCCCATGTGACTCCAAACTCCATTTTGCTATAATTTTCCATGGTAAGAACAGAGAGGTGTTCTTACACCCGGAAAAGACTATAAAAGGCTGGTGCCTCATCTCCATCTTGTCTTCAATCCTGCTTCATACCTTCGGAGGAACTTTGCTACACTGAAGCTTTGAACCAAGGACTGAAAGACCCATCCCAACTGTGGATGTACTCCAGAGACTTGATTTGAACCTGCAGTTTATTCTATCGCTGCTACAAGCCTGAACCAAGAACTTTGCCATTACTGTGTGTAATTGATTCCATTTAACCAATTCTAGCTCTCATCTATATCTTTTTCCTTTTGTGAATAATCCTGGGGTATTGGTTTTCATAACCATTTGTCCCCATAACGAGTGGCACTGGTGGTGATACTGGGAAACTGGAGTGTCTAAGGGAATTGCTTGTGTGACTTGTGGTTAGCCAGTGGGGTAAAACCGAAGTCCTCTCCTCTCTGTCTGGCTGGTTTGGTTTGCCTTGGTGTGCAAAGTAACCCCAGCCTTGGGCTGTAACTGCCCTGCTTTAAGCAATTTGTCCTGAATTGGCACTCTCAGTTGGTAGCATCGTTATATACACACACACATACACTCACACACTGCATTTTTTCATGTCACTTTGATTGGTAATGTTGAATTTTGATTTTTCTAACAGTAAAATATATAATATGCATTAGTTTACTGAAATCTGCTTTCTGTTCCTTCAATGGTGCATGTAATCTGCTTCTTCTGCTCTTAAATGAAGTGAAATCCAAGTGCTAGTTAAAATTAAAATCTAACATTTTATTTTTGAAAAGGGAGCCTCAAGAATGTCATGCTGGTTTTGGGGCACTGCTATAAATGTGATGAAGACGACAAATGTCAGAAAGGTATCTGGTAATTTATTTTACTAATCCATGTTACTTATGTTGTAAAAAATACTGTACTTTTTTTTTTATATGTCTGTTAGGAATTTTATTATATCACTTGATATATTTTCATTGCAGTTTTGTAGTGATTTATTGTTGTCTGTGTTTCTAGACTCCTGCCAAATTGAGCCTGTAAAATATGACAATGGCTTATTCATATAAAATTAAATGTGGAAAAAAGAAGAACCAGACAAACCTTTACTCAAAATTCTAACTGAACCAGAACGTCTTTTAAGGGTCCCTGATTATAATTGTAATAAAATCCTTTGCCTTTTTAGTCTGTGTAACAATATCCAAAATTGTACCTATAGTAATCAGAATTGAGACTAGGAAGCCTTTTTCACGCAAGTAGTCTTTTCATCCCCTTACTCCACTGAAACCAGTGAGACTGCTTCAAGGAGAAAGGACTCACTCCTTGCATAAGGGTTGTGGGACTGGGCTCACATCCAATATAGTCTGAGCCTTAGTAAATTTAGCGTTCAAATCTGTTTTAATTCTATTTTAATGATTTGGGCCAGATTCTCATTTACACTAAAGCTCATTTACATTTCCAGATCTATTATTTCTAACTGTAATTAAAAACAAAGCAAAATCACATTTGTAATGCAATAATTGTATCTGTGTAGTACTTTTAAACGTTTTTTTAAATTATTTTTGCAGAACTGCAGTCGTGTATGTCCGTGTGGGACATTAAGCTGCCCCATGAAGTACAAAACCTGAAAAAGCACATTGAAGTGAGACAGGAATTAGCAGAAAAAATGAGAAGGTTTTCTTTGGATTAAGGAGCCCTAGATAAGTGGAGAGTCATCTTGTTTCCCAGTTTTCCACTGGTTTAAACTTTGTTTTACTATATATTAAACAAAAAAGTAATGTAAGAAACAAAGGGAAGTGACTGTCATCCCTCAAAATCATAAAATATCAGAAGAAATAAGGAATATTTTTATTTATAATATTTTGAAGGAGTTAAAACTATTCACTCAATCTGCTTTCAGCAACAGTTGTGTAAATCCAAAGAATCTTGGTTGGTATGTTTCTGATTTTGGTTACACCAGCATAAATCCAGAGTAACTCCACAGGATTAGATTCTGCTCCTAGTTATAGCCTTGTATATGCAGAATAACTTCATTAAGCTGACATTGTAAATGAGAGCAAAGTTTAGGCTTCACTATATATACTGCCGCCTGCATACATGAACTTTACTGGTGGTTAATGTTCTTAGTTAAACTCATATTTAATAATTTTGATTATATGAAGGAAAACATTGTCGTTTATATGATGGATAGTACAGCTAGTTGGTAGACCGTATACAGCCTCGTTTAAAAAGCACAGGCTGAATAGGTCAGGCTTTTTCCCTTCCTATGTACATTAGGAATCTGGCCATTTTCAGTCTGTTCATAAAAGGCTGGGCCCTGCAACAGCAAAGACAAAATTCAGAACAAAGGTGTCTGTGAAGATAGTGCCTTTTTTGACTGTGAGCGTTTGCCTGGCACTGAGCAATGCAATCTCATTCATAGCAACACAACACATTCACACACGTAATTTTACAACTCATGTTGCACAGGCAAGAGAATGCAGGGTAAAATTCTTGACATGGTGCTTCTCAGGTAGCCAGCCAATGTGCTATAAAGTGCCTATGGAGTATTCACGCAATAGAATTGTTCAGTTCGCTTATCTCAGTCTGAAAAAGCATGAAAACTGTAGTATTCATATTTACCTTGTGTGCAAAGTTTACCATCCAGCCTTGTTATGAGCACCTTATATTGAGATTTTTGAAGTATGTAGTGGAGCCAGCAGGCATCCAAGAATGGGCTACTTCTTGCCTTGTGTAACCCCCCCCCCCCCCCCCCGGTGAGGCTGCTCACGCACACACCTACCTTCATTCTGGAGATGCCATGTTATTGCTCTGTATCCATTAACCCAATTATCTGACAGCATGCACTCAGTGCCTTACTTCCGTCCTTCAGACCACAGACAGATGTCTTTCTCTGTCCCTCAGACCAAGAGCTTCTGCACCATAACAAGCCTGCAATGCCAGGTAGCAAAAAACCCAAAGCCATTCTGAAATTTGTCTCCTGTGGAACAGAGCAAGGTGTTGCGACCAGACAAGTCCCTCTCCTTCCAATCTTCTATAGTTATAAATAATTCCTAAACTAGGACAACCGAGTGCACAGAACTTTCTCAAAATGAATCAGTATTTGGCTATTTGGATTCTTTTCATATGTACACGGTTTATAATGTGTTTGTGTTGTAATATGTGCTATGAATAATGCTATTTATATGGGATTTTATAACTCAAAAAATACATTATTTTTATCATAAAGAAATAAACTTAAATATCTGATATTTCATGTGCTGATGTCAGTTTATAAATCATGTTGAAGTGTAAGCCTTATATCTATTTATTAGAACACTATTTTCATGGACAATTTTCCAATAGTATGCTTTATTTCTCACAGAATTTCTATTGAGCTGGGGCGTGACCACTTATATGCAGGAGTCTATTAAATTCGCAGCCATGAAAATTGTGTCATGGACTGTGAAATCTGGTCTCTTTGTGTGACTTTTACCTTATAGTATAGGGTAAAAAGTATACAGAAGTACACAGCATTTCTCAGACTGGTGGTCCTGACCCAAAAGGGGGTCACAAGCCTATTGTGGGGAGGGGTGGTCACAGTATTGCCATCATTACTTCTCCACTGTTGAGGGCAGCAACGCTGCATTCAGAGCTTGGTGCCTGGCCACAGGCCGCTGCTTTCCAGCCACCTAGCTCTGAAGGCAGCACAGAAATAAGGGTGGCAGTAGGTTTGCCAGCCTCTCCTTTTGGATCAGGACCCCCAGTTTGAGAAATGCTACAGAGAAATCACATTTTTCACAGGTTGGTCATGGCATAAATGACACATCCATGAAATTTGTTGTTTTTGCTGTGACCACACGTTTTTGCAGGTGGATTTCGCTGGAATTTAAGTAGACCTCTACTTCTCTAAGCTCTTAAGCTTTCCTCCAGAAGCAAGTGATTTTATTCAGATGCTAACAGAGTGATGTAGAAAGTTGTCAAACCAACCTAACTTTGTCATAGAATCATAGAATATCAGGGTTGGAAGGGACCCCAGAAGGTCATCTAGTCCAACCCCCTGCTCAAAGCAGGACCAATTCCCAGTTAAATCATCCCAGCCAGGGCTTTGTCAAGCCTGACCTTAAAAACGTCTAAGGAAGGAGGTTTGTCCATTGTTTCTTCTTGATAGTTGAGTTACCACTGTTTCAAAGGTAAAAGGCTCATAGCAGTGGTGACCCACTGGGACTCAAATGCAGAGAAAACATGCTGAACATAACAATATTGAAACCACCCCATAAAGGTTTTGCAGAAGTCTGTTCATAACAGGAGAATACCTCTTCCGCTGCATGTCACAGTGCTAGAATTGTGTTACAGCAGCCCTACCTCCCTTAGCCTCTTATGCTGTTGACTGACTGGTGAGTATAACAAGTCCAGTTCCCTCAGCTTGTGGAGCCCAGATTACAGCCCTCAGCAGTAGAAAGTCTGAGTGGAGTGATGGGGAAGTAGTGGCACAAGTTGCCTGCAATATTACTGATTGTGCTGATTCTTCTGCTGATTCAGGATTGCTGATGCTGGGCTGATTGTCCTGTGGGTCCTCGCTGGAGTCTGAAGTTCCCCTTCCAAGCCAGAATAATAGTGCTTGTGGGTGGTGGTGCTTTAAACTAGGGTTGTCAAGTGACTAAAAAAAAATTAATCATGGTTAACCGTGCAATTAATCATACTGCTAAACAGTAGTACAGTACCATTTATTTAAATATTTTTGGCTGTTTTCTACATTTTCAAATATATTGATTTCAGTTACAACACAGAATACAAAGTGTACAGTGCTCACTTTATATTTTTATTAAAAATATTTGCACTAGAAAAAACAATAGTATTTTTCAATTCACCTCTTTAGCATGAAAGTTGAACTTACAAATTTAGAATTATGTACAAAAAAAACTGCATTCAAAAATTAAACAATGTAAAACTTTAAGGCCTAAAAGTCCACTCAGTCCTACTTCTTGTTCAGCCAATTGCACAGACAAACAAGTTTGTTTACATTTGCAGGAGATAATGCTGCCTGCTTCTTGTTTACAATGTCATCTGAAAGTGAGAACAGGTGTTCGCAAGGCACTCTTGTAGCTGGCGTCACAAGATATTTACATGCCAAATGCGCTAAAGATTCATATGTCCCTTCATGCTTCAGCCACCATTCCAGGGGACATGTGTCCATGCTAATGATGGGTTCTGCTCGATAACAATCCAAATCAGTGCGGACCAATGTATGTTCATTTTCATCATCTGAGTCAGATGCCATCAACAGAAGGTTGATTTTCTTTTTTGTGGTTCAGGTTCTATAGTTTCAGTATCAGAGTGTTGCTCTTTTAAGACTTCTGAAAGCACGCTCCACACCTCGTCCCTCTCAGATTTTGGAAGGTGCTTCAGAATCTTAAATTTTGGTTCGACTATTGCAGCTGTCTTTAGAAATCTGACATTGGAACCTTTGTGTTTTGTCAACTCTGCGGTGAAAGTATTCTTAAATCAAATAACATATGCTGGGTTGTCATTTGAGACTACCATAACAGAAAATATATGGCAGAATGTGGGTAAAACAATGGAGCAGGAGCCATACAATTCTCCTCCAAGGAGTTCAGTCACAAATTTAACACATTTTTTTAAAACAAGCATCATCAGCATGGAAGCATGTCCTCTGGAATGGTGGTCAAATCACGAAGAGGCATATGAATGTTCAGCATATCTGGCACGTAAATACCTTGCAATGCCAGCTACAAAAGTACCGTGTGAACACCTCTTCTTGCTTTCGGGTGACATTGTTTACATTTATGGGAGATAATGCTGCCCGCTTCTTATTTACAAACTTGTTTCTCTTAGTGATTGGCTGAAAAAGAAGTAGGATTGAGTGGACTTGTTGGCTAAAGTTTTACATTGTTTTATTTTTGAATGCAGTTATTTTGTTGTACTTAATTTACAAAAAAAATTAACTAAACCCATATTTTAAAAAAATCCATCTCATTTATTTTGTGTACTTAACTTAAAGGTGTTTCATAAAGAGACATGAGAGATACTCAGCAGCTGGATATTGAATTCTTTTTCTATCTGTTCCTCTCCTGGCTATTGGCTTTGAATTAAATTGAATCTTATTAGCTTCTAGCAAATGTTATGGAAGTAGTTCACCTATAAATTAATTTTAAGTGGCTTCTCAAAACAATCCAGTAGTTCCAGGTTAATGACATTGTTAATCATGGATATCTTTTTATCTTTGTAAAGAGCAACCAACGCTTCATGGAAAACTGAGGAACATTCTGCTTACAAATAGTTCTGTGTATAGAAGATATGTTCTGGAATTTCCTCCCTTTTTTAGGGCACAGGCCTACTTTTATCAAAGTCAAAGGAAACAGGAGCAGACCTCCCTACTATTAAGGATATGGGCATGAAGACAGGAGGCTTGATTCTATGCTGCCTCGTGACATCATTTACACATCTCCAAAGGAACTGTAAGAAGTTACCATTCAGTCCTTATTCAGGTCTGCAGCAGTAGCTCTTCTATGGCCACCTTAGAGAAGATGAAAAGGTTAGAATAATGCCTTGCATGGAGACATGGGATACTTGAAGGTGGCTAGGGAGCCAGCAGACACGGCCCAGAGGAACTGTGCCTGGACATGTGATTGAAGGGAAGAACAGTTGTGGCCCCACAGTCACAGAGCACCTCCCCATCCAGCGTCCTGCTCCAGGGGAAATAGATGGCCACCTTGGCCAGTGCCAGGGGGAGGTTGACGAGGAGGTCTCATGACTTCATGGGGCCATGAACAGGGTATGTATAAATGAAGTGTGTGGAAAAGTGCAGCCAGAACCTAAAGAGAAAGTTCTAGAGGAGCTGGAAAAGGGCCTGCCACCTGGCGCACTCAAGGTAGCTATGTGCCAGGGTGTCTCTCACGGTGCAGAAGGGGCAGGTGTCAGGAAGGGGGATGAACTGTGCCAAGTACATGCCCATGCTCACAGCTCCGTGAAGGAGCTGCCAACTGACATTCCTGGTGGGCCGTGGAACCAAGGTGGAAGGCTCTGGCCCACTGGGCTTCCTCACCCTCCACAAATGGCAGACATTCTTGCCATTAGTATTGGGGCAGGACACAAGGGTGAGGGAAATGTGTGTGGAGAACGAGCATGAATAGTTGTTCCCGAGGCACGGCTCGGAAACAAACTGGCTGAAGGTCACTTAGCTGGCTTGGGTTGTGGAGGGGAGGGCGTCGAGGCTGTGGGGGGACTCGCAGGGTAGGGGCCCATATGTTAAAAGTCTGGAGGGCCAGGGGTGAGCAGGGAGCACCCTGCCACAGGACCCACTCAAGGAAAACCTGAAAGGTGAGTGATAAGGCTGCCCTCACCTGGAGTATGTGCTGCAGGGTATGAAGGATGAAGAGCCCCATGTGCCACGCGAGTGCTAGGGGAATCCACCCATCCCCCTGGCCATAGTCCAGGAGGTCTCCAATTTTGGTGGTTCCTGCCAGGACCAGCCTCTGGCACACCAAGGGGGACTCCACCCACTTGCATACCAAGTTGGGGGTTGTGCAGTAGGGGGTCCGCAAGGAGATCTGCCTCCTTGGCTGCCACCACAGACTTGATCGCTGAAACCAGCTTCCAGGTCATGAGGAGGTCCTGATAGAAGATTGGCAGCTCTGAGAGGTCTCACAGAAGACCCCCTTGGAAGAGAAAAAAGAGCTGCCAGCTATATTGGAGCCCTCGGAGGTGGACCATGAGGAGCATGTCATCAGTGAATGCTGACAGGACCATCCGCAACTCTGGTTCACGAAGCACCAACCCCATCAGCCTCCTGCAGAGGAGATGGGGGAAGGGCTCGATGGCCAGAGTATACAACTGGCCTGACAGCAGGCAGCCTTGACGCACCTCTCACC